GTCGTGGCGGCATGTGGTGGGGCTGCTGCTGCTGCTGCAGCTCTTCCTCTGCAAACGGCAGCAGCAGCAGCCGCACGTATCTCCCTCTAGGCCTACTGCAGTATAATACCTCATTAGATAATGCTGCTGCAGCAATCTGCAGCAGCTGCCGCCAGCCTGGAGGAGCTGCAGGCATAGGAACTGCTGCTGCTGCTGCTGCTGCTTCTGCTGCTCGCAGCGCAGCCGGCAGCCGCAACTGCCCCGTGCTTTTCTTGAAAGATATCCGCAGTGGGGTGCCTAAATTGTTGTTGCTGCTGCTGCTGTTTCTGCTGCTGCGGTTGCTGCGCTCGCCGCCACTCATGCTGGATCCGCTGTCGCTGCTGCTGCTGCGGCAGCTGCTGCTGCTGCTGCAACAGCGCGCTCCACAGAGTTGGAACAAGCGGAAGAGGCAGCGTCTGACGGTGCTGAGGAGCGCAAGGACAGCCTGCTGTTGCTGCTGCTGCTGCTGCGCTGCAGCAGCAAGACAGAAAGACAGAGCCTCCCGTCGCTGAAAGGTAGAAGACCGATGCAACGGCCAACCCTCCAAGGCAGCAGCTACACCTGCACACCCCAACAGCAGCAGCAGCAGCAGCAGCAGCAGTAGCACACCCAGAAAGCATATAAGTACCAACAACAAGCCATTTAATACAGACATGCATATATACATATATATATATGCATATATATATATATATGTATATGTAATATAAAATATAAACTTAGAGACTACAATTGAAGAGCTTGCTGCTATTTGCTTATTTACCTCCGTTAGCTGCAGCATCTGCTGCACTCGGCCCCAGGCGTCGAAGCAGCTGCGCAGCAAATGAACGATAGGTCCAGTTCCTCTCAGATCCTGCTGCATCTCGAGGATCTGCTGCTGTTGCTGCTGCTCCGGCTGCTGCCGCTGCTGCTGCAGCAGCAGCAGCAGCAGACGTGAAACGCACGCCGACAGAAGATGCACGCCGCTGCTGCTTTTGCCACTCAGACAGAGGAGGCTGCTGCTGCTGCTGTTCCTGCTGCTGCTGCCTCTGAGGATCACCTTCGGCTGCAGAAGGCTGCGACCCTGCTGCTGCTGCTGCTGCAGTGGGTCTGATGGCTGGAGTCTGGCGTCGAGGCACGGAGGACTCTCCGACTCCTCGTGCTGCTGCAGTTGCTGCTGCTGCTGCTGCTGCAGGGGTTTCAACGTGAGGCGGTTCAGACGTTGCTGCTTGTGTCGGTGAGTTGCTCTTCGCAGCAGCAGCAGCTGTTGCTGCTGCTGGCGAAGAGTCGCCCTTTTGCTTTGCTGCTTGGGCGGCCCCTCTTGCTGCTGCTGCTGCAGAATCTGCTGCGGCAGCGGAAGCAGCAACAGCAGCAAAAGTGCCGGCCGCAGCAGCAGGTGCGCTGCGCGTTACAGGGGTCGCAGCAGCAGCTGAAGCAGCAGCAGGTGTAGCTGCTGCAGCAGAAGTGCTGTCCCTGGGCGCAGCAGCACCAGCAGCAGCAGCAGCGCGGTGCCCTTCAAGGGAAGCGGCGCACTCTGAGACAGCCTCCGGGGGATCGTCCCCACGATCCCGATCCCGATCCCGATCCCGATCCCGACTGCTTGTGAAGTCCTCTACGCATATTAACTCGTTCTCCAGTGCCTGCACTCAGCATAACAGCAATTATATCAAGCAGTGTATTATATACTACTTAGGAAACATATATTATAAATTATATATATATATTTATATACATACGCATATATATATATATTCTATCACGGCATTTGTCGCATTTTATATAATAACTAAGCAACATATATTGCTACTGCACTACATACTGTATATCATACCCGCCCATAATATATATATATATATATATATATATATATATATATATATTATGTAAGACCTTGGGCTTGTATAAAAGCATGCAAATAAATACACAGAAGCATATTAATATATTCCCGATACAACAAATAGTAAATAATATACAAAATAGATAGATACAAGCACTATATAACAGCAAGATAAGATACAGCCCCTCCCTACTGGTGCAGCCGTCTAGGGTTTAGGGTTTAAGAACGAACACAAGAAGAAGTATTTCTTTAAAAGAAGTGAGTTAGATAATGTTGCAAACAAAGACAAGAAGATCTTCTTACATGTTTTAACTCAGGGGCAAGCGGAGATGTAGCAGTAACAGCTTTATTTTCGTTTGTATCGGGAGAGTTAAAAACTAATAAACTTGAATGAAGAAACATGCGGCCGCACCAAACCCTATCTACTGCAGCAAGGCCTCTGTAGCAATACTTCGCATCCCCTACTAAAGGATGACCCAGGTGCTGGAAGTGTACCCTGAATAAGAAGACCAGCAGCAGCAGCAGCATCAGCAGCAGCAGGAGTTGGAGTATAAGGATATTAAACCCACAGCAGAAACAAACGCTACTACAGCAGCAACACAAAAATAAAACTAGCAGTAGCAACAACAGATGCAAACTGCGACAGCAGCAGCAACATGCAGCAGCAGCATGCAGCAGCAATACCAGCAACATCAGTGATAAAGGAGTGAAGCCAGCGCTAACAAACCAACATGAAAGAGAACAAACAAATAAATAAACATAAAAAACATAAAAACAGACGAGAGATAATTTTAATTAAACGAACAAAACGCAGGTAAATAGCAGAATAGATATGCAGCAGCAGCAGCGAGCAGCAGCAGCATAAATAAAACAGCAGCAGACACATAGAGAAGCAAAAACAGAAATGAAGACAAACCTGATCTGATGTGTCCTCCCTGTATGGATCTTCACGCGGCAGAAGCTGAACTCCTGGCTATAAGTAAACTCTTTGCTGCTGCTGCTATTGCTGCTGCTGCTGTTGCTGCTGCTGCTGTTTGATTTAGCTGCTGCTGCCCTTTGCTGCTGTGGCGCGTTCGGACCACCACCAGCAGTAGCAGCAGCATTCATTCTTGCTGCTGCAGCAACAGCAGCAACAATCTTAGGGTCATTAGGTCGGCGGAGCTTGAAGACTTTCAATAAACGAAATTCTGTTAATGCCTCTTCGCCGCCTTCATGAGGCCCCACTACTGCAGAGAAGTGGCTCTTAGAACGACAAGTATCGAAATCCCTTCAAACAAACATAAACAAATTAACATAAGATCATATAAATAAATATAAATATATAAATATATATATATATATATATATATATTTCTATATGCTTGTTTATTTATTATCATTATTATTTGTTTACGCTTTTCTTTAGCTAAACGTACAACCATCTAGAGATAACGAAAAAGCAGAAAAACAAGAAGAACGAGGATAAAAATAATAAAAACAACAAAAACAATAAAAACAATAAAAACAACAATAAAAATAATAAAAATAATAAAATAAAAAGAATAAAATAAAAAGAATATAAAGAATTACCTGGTGGCAATTGGATGATTAATTTTGCCGTATTTTTCGGGAACTCTTCCATGACAGAGCAGCAAATACTCCTTATGAACAGAGCGGCGTCTAAATTGTTCAAATATTATCTCTCGAGCCCTGCATTAAATAAATAAATGAATAAATAAATAATATTTAATAAATATATTATCAGAATAATAAATTGACAAAAAAGAAATCAACAAAATGCAACTTGAACAAAAAAGAAAGACGTCTAGACTGCTCAAATATTATCTCACAAAATAATAATAAATAATTACTATTATAATTATTATAATGATGTGATATTTTTACAATTATTTATTTAAATAAAAAGAATATCTTCTCGTCTTAGCAATGAGAAGAGAGCCTCATAGCACTATGAAGAGGAATACAATATTAAGACTATCAGGATGAGTAAGATAATAATAACAGTAACAACCAATAAGAATAATAAACTTCAATATAATAAGAATAACATTTAAATAATGAAATTTATTTAAATCAAAGAATACCTTCTCGTCTTAGCAATAAGAAGAGAGCCTGAAGTCTCGAGGTCTGTTCTATGGCACAGCCCGCACTCCATCTCCTCCCAACGCCGAACTGTCTCTAACCGCGGGTACTGCAGCAGCAGCAGCAGCAGCAGCAAGAAGCAGCAGCAGCAAGAGCAGCAGCAACACCACAAGCAGCGTATAATGCATATGGTCATTATCACCAGCAGCTGCATCCGCAGCAGCAGAATGCTTCTGCTGCAGCTCTGTTTCGTGTTGCTACTACAATTCAAATTCTTTAAAAACTAATAATTAATTAATTTAAAGAGTTAATTGCATTATTTGTTTATTTTTGTTTGATAGATGGAGGTGAAAGCTCTCATATTCTATTGCGTTTCATTAAAAAACAAAAAAACGAACAAATACATAAATAAATAAATATAATTAATAAATTGAATTAGTTAATTAATAGTATTTGTTTACCTTTTTCATAAGATAGAGGTGAAAGCTCTCGACTTTGCCGCTATTAAGGAGGTCATCAATAGTAATATGTGCAAGGGCTTCTTCAATATCATCTGCGTTTTGAAGCCGAGCTAAAGACAGACTTCGAGACCTGCTAATACCTGAACAATGCCAAAAGGCAGGCTTATAGACTACCAGCCAAGTCAAACCCTCAGCTATTACGTAGGGAGAAGCCTTCTTAAACACCCTCCTGCTGCTGCTGCTGCTAGAGCTGCTGCTAGAGCTGCTGCTGCTGGAGCTGCTGCTGGTGGCACTGCTGGGGGTGGGGGTTGTTGCTGTTGTTGTTGCTGCTGCTGCTGAAGAACGAGAAGAAAGCTGCTGCTGAGACTCTAATCCGTCTTGCAGAGGAGGAGGTGAGGCATCTCTATATAAATCTTCATCGTCAGACTCCCACCGATCAGTTAGCCACTCAGCAACAGAACAAGAGTCTGTGCTGCTGCTGCTGCATGCACCCCGACGTCCTCCAGCAGCAGCAGTAGCGGCTCCACCGCCGCGACGTGGCGAACCGTCTGCTGCTCCTGCTGCTGTTGCTGCTGCTGTTGCTGCTGCTGCTGCAGCAGGAGAAGACGCCCCCCATGGAGCTACGCGGTGTCCTGCAGGAGATCTGCCTTCTGCTACATGGGCCCACATCGGCGCTGCTGCTGCTGCTGCTGCTGGTTTGCGTTCAACTTCATCTGCATCTGCTGCTGCGTCCTCCGCAACACTGGGGAGTGAAGGCGATCCCGCTGCTCTTGCTGCAGCAGCAGCAGCCTCTACTGCTGCTGCAGCAGCAGCAGGTGGTGGTGCTGCAGCAGGATATGCAGCAGCAAGAACAGAAGGCAAAGCAAGAGATGAAAGAGGCCCCGAGAGAGCAGCAACACGCGGCAGCGTTAGCTGCGTTACCTTCACAGAGTACAGCCACTTGAGCAGCACAGCAACAGCCCAAGCAACTAATCCATCAACGCCTGCTGCTGCTGCTGCTGCTGCTGCTGAGGCTTTAGGAGCGTCAGCAGCGAGCAGCAGCGGGACACAGGGATATGAAGATGCTGCATTTGCTGCTGCTGGCAGCCGCAGCAAACAAAATTCAATCAAGCGCTTTGAAACAGAGTCAAACAAACGCCGGCCTTGCTGCGACTCCCCCAGACGCGATAAGTGGCGAGGCCCCAGCACCAGCCACATGCTTGCTACTGCTGCTACCTTTAAGCTGCTGCTCAGACTGCTGCTGCTGCTCTTGCTGCTGCTGCTGCTGCTGGTGGTGCTGCCCGCACTCGCACTGTTGCTGCTGCTGCTGCTGCTGCCACTTGCGCCGGCGCTGCTACCCGCACTTGCACCGCTGCTGCTGCTGCTGCCGCTGCTGCTGCTGCTGCTGTTTGCTGCTGCAGCAGGAGGTCTATCTAAGAAGCCGTGGCAGTGCAGCGCCAACAGCTTCCTGGAGACGATGAGCCCGCTGCGCCCCACAGCTAAAACAGCAAACAGCTCGGAAGCAGCTAAACCCCTGGGTGAAAGCAAACGCCTAAAGGCAAGAAACCTTAAGTCTGCTGCACTCAGACCCTCCAAGCTGCTGCTGCTGCTGCTGCTAGGGGAAGCGCCTTTGGCGCTGCTGCTGCCGCCAGGGGCTGCTATGCCGCTGTAGCTGCTGCGGCGTCCTTTTTGTGTTGCTGCTGCTGCTGCATTAGCTGCTGCTGCATCGTCTGCTGCTGCTGCGCTGCACTCTAGAGCCTGCAGCAGCGCCATCTCCAGGTGTATCTGCAGCTGCTTTGCAAAGAGAGGCCGCTGCTGCGACGACAAACTGGTTGCACTCAGCCTATCGAGTAATTCTGCTGCTTGCAGCAGCACCTCCCCTGCTACGGGGCTGTCTAGTGGCGTCCTTACACTCCCTGTTGCTGCTGCAGTTGCTGCTGTTGCTGCTGCTGCTGCGGGCGCTGCTGCAGACGCGGAAGAAGGGGATCCAGAGGCCGCTGCGCGCTTAGAACCTGCTGCTGCTGCTGCTGCTGCAGTTGCTGCGGGAGAGGAGCCTCTGCATGCCTGCAGCCAGGGTGCAGAAGCAGCAGCAGCAGCAGTTGCTGCTGCTTCTTTAGCTATGTGGCTCAGGACCGACTCAATCACTTCAGCAGCAAGCAGCTTCAAAGCCTCTTCATGCACCTCCCGTGCTGCTGCCAGCCTCTGCAGCGTCTCCAGGCTCTGTCGCTGCAGCAAATGCCGATGCGGTAGCTCTGCTGTTGCTGCTGCTGCTGCTGCTGCTGCTGCTGCGGAGTCCGATGGAGGAGACGAAGCTCCAGAGGCTTCCCCTAACTCTTCGCCACCTGCTGCAGCAGAATCAACCTGCTGCTGCTGCTGACGCTGCGCAGCACTCCGCGCTGCTTTAGAGCCCAATGGAGACTGGGGGCTCCCAGAAGGCCCTGCTGCTGCTGCTGCTGGAGTTGCTGCTGCTGCTGTTGTTGCTGCTGCTGCTGAGGGGGAAACGGCTGAGGCGCCGCGCCGCTGGCTCTCTGTGCCACGAGTTTTTTGTCCCGCTGCTGCTGCTGCTCCTGCTGCTGCTGCTGCTGCGCTTTTCTTTGCTGCTGTTGCTGCTGCTTGTTCAGACTGTGGGGTGGCCGCAGCTGGTGCCACAGAGCTGGAGTCCGATGCAGCAGCAGCCGCACGCTTCTGCTGCTGCTGCTTATCCTTCTGCTTCTTGAGATCCGCTGCAGCATCGTCCTCTGGTGCTGCTGCTGGCTTTGCTGCTGCAGCTCGCAGTTGTTGCTGCGGGCTTGCGGCAGCAACTGGAGAGGCTGCTGCTGCTGTTGGTTTCTTGTCTTGGGCCTTGGGAGTTGTTGCAGCAGCTGCTGCAGTGGCAGCTTTAGGCGTCTCCTTCGCTCTGCTCCGAGCCTCTGCTGCCGCCTGCTGCTGCTGCTGCTTTTTGCTTCGGCCAGGCTGTGCTTCTGCAGCGGTTGCTGCTGATGCCGTGGCTGCTGCTGCTGACTTTGCTGCTGCTGCCTTAGCGGCTGCTGCTTTAGTTGCATCGCCTGCTGCATCCTCCTGCTCAGCAGCAGCTGCTGCTGCCTTTGTCTTCGCATTTGCTGGTGACCCCGCCCCAGTCTTTGCTGCATCTGTCTGCCCAGCAGTTGCTGCTGCTGCTGCTGCTGCTGCTTCAATTGCTGCTGCGTCGCTGCTTGCGTTTATTTCTGTTTTCTCTCCGTCTTCTTTCTCTGCTCTTCTGCTGTCCTCTGCTAACTTTGCAATAACACTTTTCTTATTTGTGGGTATTGCAGGTCTCTGTGGGGCTTTCTTTGTTTTCTTCTTCCGGCGCTTACCTCCTGCTGCTTCATCGTCAGCAGCAGCTTCCGCTGCTGCTGCTGCTGCTGCTGCTGCTGGTCCTCGTCCTGCTAGCAGCCCCGCGCCTACTGTTCCATCTGGTGCAAGCCCTCTGAAGCCGCTTCCGGGAGCAGAAGCAGCAGCAGCAGCTGCTGCTGCTGCTGGACTGGCTGGGTCTTTTGCTGCTGCTGCTGCTGCTGCAGCAGGAGCAGCAAGAGGCAGCAAAGGAGCAGGAAGAGCCCCTCCTCTTTTATCATTAGCACACTCTGCTGCATATACTTGACGAAGAAGTGCTGAAGCTTCTCTATGCCTCACAGTTGCTGGCGACTCAATATACACCCTGGGCTGTACAATGATAATATCGCCTGTCTTTTTATTTATTTTTTTAATTGCACAAAACCACCTTCGAATATTTTGAACAGTCCTCAGCTGACATTCCTCCATAACCAGCAAAGAGTCTGGGTCAGCAGCAAATTGCTGCTGCTGCATCTCCGTTAAGAACCCACTTGCTGCAGCACGCGGCAGCACCCACTGCAGCACATACTGCTGCAGCTGCTGCTTCGCAGAGCATATTATCGGCCCCAAACAAAGCAAAGAAACAGAGTCAGGGCAAAACCACTTGAACAGCAGCAGAGGATATTCATTTGTATCTTCGAGCGGGAACAATTCAACTCCTCCGCTGCTGCTGCTGCTGCTGCTGCTGCTGCGGGGAGGAGCACCCATTATTAATATTGTCACGTCTGGTGCTGCTGCATCCAACAGCAATCGCTTGTGGTCGATATATGAATCCAATGAATCACTCGGATGCATAAATGCAAAGCGACGCCGACCTGCAGATACACCCCAAATATATATATATATATATATTATATGTATGTTGTATGAAATAAACAACTAACTGCGTATATACCGCAAATATATATATATATATATATATATAAGAACAAGAATTGCATGAAAGATACACTGCATATACACCCTAAATAAATACACAGTGAGAAAGCGAGAAATCAAAGAAAATAAAAAAAGACAGCCAAACAGAGACAAAGAGAGGAGGAGACAATGAAAAACAAACAAACAAAAACAAAGACAAACAAAGACACAGACAAACAAAGACAAAGACAAACAAAGGCAAAGACCAACAAAGGCAAAGAAAAGAAAATGAAAATGAAAAGAAATAGAGAGAGAGATAAACAAAGTTAAAAAAAGAAAAATAAATTAGATAAATTGAGACAAGAGAAAAAGACAGAAGAAGCGACGGCCAAAGCAGACAAAACAACAAAACAAACAAAATAAAATAAATAAAATAAATAAATAAAATAGAATAAATAGAATAAATAGAATAAATAATATAATAAAGCACCTCTCCTCGAAGGATCAGTATCGGGTTTGAGTGCATAGAGAAAGAAAGCGTCTAAAGCCGTTGGTTTATATGCAAAGCGCTTGTCATCATCTGCTGCTCCTTCTTCATCAGCAGCAGAAACAAAACCCCACAGGTCTTCTCCTCCATATAAATCCCCGCTGCTGCTGCTGTTGCTGCTGCTGTTGCTGCTGCTGCTGTAGGTGCTTCTGTGGGGGGCTACGCCATCGAAGGCCGCAGCAACACCCCCACCACCAGCACCACCACCAGCAGCTGCAGCAGCAGCAGCAGCAGCAGCAGGGCCCAGCTGTGATAGTATTACTCGTCTTAAAGCACAATACAGCCTGCGAACAGTTATAGGAGCCCCTGCTGCATCTCTTCTTCGGATTAGCAGTCGATGCTTCGGCAGCAAATTATCTTCTATACAAAACCCCTCTAACCCTGCGAGGTCTGCAGCTACAATAATGCCTAATTCAAGCAGCTCAGGCTCTACCTCTGCTGCTGCAGCTGCTGCTGCTGCTGCAGCAGCTGCAGCAGCAGCAGCACCCGCACTACGGTAACCACCTCCTGCTGCTCCAGCGCCAAACGGAAGCAAACCCCCCGCACCACCGCCGAAGGGACCCAGAGCAGCAGCAGCTGCGGCTGCTGCTGCTCCGCTGTTGTTGCTGCTGCTGCTATACGGCTCATAGCCATGACCCCCAAATCGCGGGCCTCCTCCGCGACAGGCGGAGTTGCAAGTGCCCTCCGACCCCGCAGCCGCAGCAGCAGCAGCAGCAGCAGCTGCTGCTGCTGCTGCGGCTGCAGGAGAGCCCCTGCAAAGGCTTTCAGGAACAAACTCCTGCTGCTGCGGGTCCTGCTGCTGCTGCTGCTGCTGACGCAGCCGCGAAGAAGTAGGGGGCCCATACTCTCTACCAGCGAAGGGCCTCTGAGGCAGCAGCGTAGAGTGTATAGACAGCAGAAACACACGCGGATCTGCTGTTGCTGCTGCTGCTTGAGTAAAGACAACAGTCGGTAAAAGACTATCTAATAAAGGAGAGAAAGACAAGCCTGCACCATTTGAAGGGCTCATCCCTCGAGCAACCTTACGTCGCCGCCCGCCTCCTCCTGTTGCTGCTGCTGCTGCTGCTGTTGCTGCTGCTGCTGCTGCTCCTGCTGCAGCCACCAGAGAATCCACTCGGTTGCTGCTGCTGTGGGCACCGCCTGCGGCTTCCCCTGCTGCCGCTGGTTGCTCCGTCTCTCCTGCTGCTGCTGCTGCAGCGTCTTCAGCCTCGTTCTGCTGCTCCGCCTCTTCTGCTGCTGCAGCACAAGTGCTGCAGCAAATACCTGCTTGGGGGTCAAGAGAAGGAAGACAAAGGTTTGCTGCGTCTCTCTGTAGAGCAGCAGTAATCTGACATGCATGCATCTGCAGCAACTCTTTAATTGTGTCTGTCTCTCTCTCTATTTCTTCATATCCCCCGCACCGCAGAGCTACTGCGAGAGCAGCAGCTAATGCGTTGCTGACTGCTGCAGGAAGAGACGCACAGCCGCACTTACGCCTTCCTCTCCTGCTGCTGCTGCTGCTGCTGCTGCTGCTGCTGCTGCTGGTGGGCTGCCGGAGGGAATGGGTAAGGCAGGGCAAGCAGAGGAGCTGAGGTGCTTGCTGCTGCAGCACTTCTTTTTGCTGCTGATCTCCAAAGAGAGAGATATAAGCAGCAATTACTTCTTGCGGCCGATGCAAGTGAGCAGTAACAACACGCTTCTCGTTTAGCTGCAGCCGCATCTGCTGCAACGAAGGCAGAGGGCCTAGAGAAGCTCTTAAAGACGACAAGACGTTTAAAGTGCTGTCTAAACCGCAGAGAGGGATATAAACAGAAGTGCTGCTGGCGTGCGACAAAGCAAGCAACAGCTGCGTAGGGCGTAAGCTTCCTGCTGCTGCTGCTGCTGCTGCTGCTGCAACAGCAGCACCTGCAGTCGGAGCTGCAGCAGCAGAAACCCCACCTCCAGCAGCACCACCACCGCTCCCGCCGCCCCCAGCAGCAGCAGCAGCAGCTGCTGCTGCTGCCGCTGCTGCTGCACTGAAGGCCAGAGAGAAAGGCAAAGCAGAAGCAGGAGAATCACAAGTCTGAGGTGAAGACAAAATTGCTGCTGCATCGACTCCGCTGCTGCAGCAGCAGCGCCATAGGTCGTATAAACGCGCAACTACAGCCTGATGTACAGCAGAAGCCTCTCCTCCGAATACTCCTTCTTCAGGCATACTTAACCCATCATCATCATCATCATCATCTGCTGCTGCTGCTGCTGCTGCTGCTGCTGACGATGCTGCTGACTGCTGCTGGCTATTCGCCGCCGTCCCTGGAGCAGCAGCAGCAGCAGCAGCAGCAGCAGGAGAATCATCTTCCTGGTCTTTCTCCTTCCCTTGCTGCTGCTGCAGCTGGTGCTGCTGTTTCTGCTGCTGCTGGAGCAGCTGCTGCTGCTGCTGTCTGGCTGCACGAATATGAATAGCCTGCAGATACACCGCAGCTTCCTTAGCAAGCGAAGCAACTGTCTCTAGCAGCCTTGACAAAGGCCCTGTAAGCAGATTTGCTGCGTCTGTCAGCAGCAGCTTCCCCTCCCAGTTCAAAAGCCCAAAGCACTGAGGAGATGAAGCAACCCATGAATGCTGCTCTCCTGCTGCTGCTGCTGCTGCTGCAGCTGCAGCTGCTGCTGCTGACTGGGAATGAGATTCTGATGCACTGGTGCCTCCGGCTGCGGGATACGATCCCCCCGCTGCTGCTGCTGCTGCTGCTGCTGCGGCTGCTGCTGGTTTGGGGCAGAAGCCATCAATAAATTCATCTAGCAGCAAACTAGCGATTGCATAACGTAGCTCCTGCAGCACCAGCAGCTCTTCCTCCTCAACTCTACACAGTTCTCGTATTGCTGCTGCTTTGCTTTCTCTATTATGTTCCTGCTGCTGCTGCTGCTCGCCTGCAGCAGGCTGCTCCGACAGGCCTTCTACTCCTCCCTGCTGCTGTAGCAGCATCTGCTGCTGCTCCAGCTGAGGGTCCAGCTGCTGCTGCTGCTGCTCAGATGCTAAAGCAATTGCTGCAGCGAGCTTTGCCCTCTCCTGCACCACCTCCAGCAGCCACTCAGCCAGAGGCTGGAAGACACGCAGCCGCGACTCGTTAACTATAGAACGCCTCCCTGCTACTGCTGCTGCTGCTGCTGCTGGCTCTGCTGCTGCTGCTGCTGCTGCTGGTGATGACGCTGCGAGAGAGGATTCGCGTGCTGCAGATTCTGATGCCTCTGCTGCTTCTGCTGCTGCAGTAGATGGGGCTGAAGGGATCGGCTCAGCAGTGCCGTCTCCCCCCTCTCCTGCTGCTGCTTCTGCTGCTTCTGCTGCTGCATCTGCTGCTGCTGCTGTCGCGGTCTCTTCTGCAGTTGCATCTGCTGCATCTGCTGCTGCTGCATCTGTTGCAGCAGTTTCCTGCGTTGCTGCGGTTTGCGTTGTTTGCGCCTGCTGCGTGTCTCGCTCGTCCTTCTCCTGCTGCTCCTGCTGCTTGACCTGCTGCTGCTGCTGCTGCTGCTGCTGCTGCTGTTTTTGTCGAAGTTGTTGCTGCTGCATTTGGTGAGGTCTCAGCCAGGGTTGTTTGATGTCTGTTTCTGTGAGGCCGAGTTCATGAAGTACGCTGTAATAGAGTGCAGGATTAAGTTGTTTGAGGTCTGCTGCAGCTGCTTCTCTGCTGCTGCTGCTGCTGCTGCTGCTGGCCTGAAGCGCATCTATATAATCCTCTGCTATATATATAGCACCGCAGCAAAAGAAATCCCGATGACACTTCCACTCTGTAAACTCTACGCGAGAAACAAGTCGTTCTACTCTCCCCGCAGCAACTCTAAACCAAGGGCCGTCTTCATCAGGTCTGAGCAGCAAGCAATGAGGTGCTGCTGCTGCTGCACTGTCTCCTCTGCTTTCTCCTTCTCTAATAAATAAAGCAAACAGCGAATACCACTTCTCTTTGCTTCCGTTCCCGCTGCATACACCTGATATGCCTTTGCTGCTCATACAACTGTTGCTGCTGCTGTTGCCGCTGCTGCTGTTGCTGCTGCTAGGGGGGCCCCAACAATCCCCCCCCTCGCATCCTCCTGCTGCTGCATCTCCTGCTGCTGCTTCTGCTGCTGCTGCTGCTGCTGCGGCTTTCTCTTCATCAGAATACTCAGACTGAGATATGTCGCTCTCGCGATTGTCTGCAGCTCGCTGCTGCTGCTGCTGCTGCCGCCGCCCTTGCTGCTGCATGCGGTTCCTCAGCTTCTTCTTCTGCTTCACACGAGACCAGGGAGCAGCAGCAGAAACCCCAGGCCTTGTGCTGTTGCCTGCAACTTCTGCTGCTTCTCCTCCTTCTTCGGCTGCTTCTGCTGCTGCTGCTGCTGTGCCTGGAGGGGTGCCTTGCTGCGGATCCCCTGCTGCTGCTGCTGCACCAGCAAGTGAAGCTTGCGCATTATTCTGCGTATTTCCCGCTGCTGCTGCTCCTGCTGCTGCAGCAGCAGCAGCTGCTGCTGCTGCTGGAGCCCCTGCTGCATGCGCACTCGCTGCAGCAGCACTCCCTGCAGCAGCACTTGCAGCAGGATTATTATTATTATTATTATTATTATTATTATTATTATTATTGGTTTTAAGCTGCAGTAGCCCCTGCGCATCAATTCGCAGAGGGGCATCAAATAACTCTCCTTTCTTTGTTTGTTTCGGCGACTGAAGATAAACAAACAAAACGTGAGGATAATGAGTAAAAGGCCTGCCGCAGCTTTCAAGAGCGCGAGGGAGAGAATGAAGATGTCGACACCGCGTCAGAGACACACAAATCTCCGCCGTACCATCCCTAAGAACAGCAAACAAATCTATTTCTTTCGATCCTCAATCGCACGTCCGCTTTACTTATTATCTTGTTTAATATAGTACTCATTTTGTTTATATTATTTATGTTGTTTGTTATATTGTTTATGTTGTGTATATTATTTATGCTGTTTATTATATTGTTTATGTTGTTTATATTATTTATGCTGTTTATGTTGTTTATATTATTATTATTGCAGCATTTAAAGCAAACAAATAATTATATATTTGATTATTTATATTGATTAAAAACTTAAATCCTTTAAATAATGTAAATAATTAAATTATTTTAATCATTTCAATTATTATATTAATTAAGTCAACAGCAGCAACGGCAACAGCAGCAACAGCAGCAGCAGCAGCAGCAACAGCAGCAGCAGCAGGTCTTACGGGGCCATGAGGCCGATGGATCGATCTGAAGAGCAGAAGAGTTCGTGACAGGTCGCCTCCAGATTATCACAAGAGCTGTAATGAACCCCTTCATTATCCCAGATGCTGCTGCTGCTGCTGCTGCTGCTGCTGCTGCTGGCGTTGCGCGTGCTTCCTGGGGTTTGTGGGGCGTCTTCTTCCTCCGTTTCTCCTAGCCCCTGTCCCTGCTGCATCTGCTGCTGCTGCTGCTGCTGCAGCTGCAGCTGGGCCCTCTCTTCTAAACTAGTTTTGGCTATCTCTCTCATTAAGAGAGAAAATAATTCTGTGTGTATGCGCACCAAGGGGTCTCCCGACTCTAAGCGCTGCAAATCATGAAAATTCAAAGCGCGTAGAATATATCGAGTAGACGGAGGGGGGGGCAGCGACGCCATCACCTCAGGGTGTCTGCAGCAGCAACAGCAGCAGCAGCAGCAGCAGCAGATGCAGCAGCAGAAGCAGAAGCAGAAGAGGAGGAGAAATGAAAACGCAGCAAACGCAAACGTCTTCAGGGTAAACCCGTAAATGCGGAAATGCATAACATACAAACAAACACCTGTTGCTGCTGCTGTTGCTGTTGCTGCTGCTGCTGCTGCTGCTGTTGCTGCTGCTGCTGCTGCTCACCTGTCAATAAGGTCGCAGCAAAGACAAAGCGAGTCGTCGCTCCCACTGCCCGACAAATCCAAACAATCACCGAAGCCTTCGCGGTAGCAGCAGCCTTCTCCTGTGCACATTGGCTTGCTGCTGCTGCTGCTGCTGCTGCCGGGTGCGCCCGGTGCGAGTGCAGACGCAGCGGGAGAGGGAGGAGGAGCGACGCCTGCTGCTGCTGCACCTGCTGCTGCTGCTGCTGCTGCTGGCGGATGCACTGACTGCAAATGAAGTTGTGCTGCAGTGCGGGGGAAGAGAGGAGACGTTTGTGTGTGGCATTTGCAGCAGCAGAAGCACTTCTGACAGAAGAAGCAGAAGCTCGGCTTCCTGCTGCTGCTGCTGCTGCTGCTGCTGCTGCCGAAGCCTAGAGCAAGTGCTGCTTCACGCCTCAACGGTGCTGCTGCTCCCTTAGGAAAAAGTTCAGCGCCATACCATCTCCAGATTTCTGAGGGACAGACATCTGCTGCTGCTGCTGCTGCTGCAGCAGATCCTCCTGCAGCAGCAGCAGCGGAGCAACCTCCTGCTGGAGCTGTACAGCAGCCGCCTCCTCCTGCTGCTGCAGCAGCAGCACATCCGCCAGGAACAGCAACAGCACCTGCAGCAGCAAGCTGCTGATACCGTTTGCAGGCAACAGCAACAGGCCACAGCAGCATATATGCAAATGTGTGCTGCAGTGCTCCTATTAATGAGCCGTCAACAAACGATTTAGTTGATAAAGATGAAGACAGATGCTCTCCTCGAGCTGCTGCTGCTGCTGCTGCTGCTGCTGCTGGAGGTCTGCGCTTCTCCGCCCCAAAACATAAAATTTGACGCCGAAATTCTACCAAGTGAAATAAACACTGAAATTTACAAACAAACAAACAAACAAACAAATAAACAAATAAACAAATAAATAAACAAATAAATATATATAAATATATATATATATTTATTATATATATACATATATTATGTATATATGTGCATTTTAATCAATACTTTCATCCTAGTACTTTGATATACTACCAAGTAAAATAGACGGTGAAATTAAAAAAATGAACGAGCAAACAAATACATAAAAATAAATTTCAATCAATACTTTTTTATATAGATGTAATAACATGAGAAATAAACAAACAACCAAACACAAAAAAATACTTTAATTAATATTTTTATACACAAACATTCTTTTAGACATAACTCATAAAAATCAAACACAAATAAACGCAGAAAAACAAAAAATTAACTTAAAAAACGAAGGGCAAAGTTAAATAAATAAATAAAAAGAAGTTAAAATAAATATAAATAAATAAACAAGAAGAAGATAGACACAAAATTATTAAATGAAATCCAATAAAAAATAAAAACAAAATCAAAAAAATTAATAAATCCGAGAACGCAGAAATGACAGCGAAATTAAATCTCTAGTAAAATAATATAAACAAATATATATGTATATATATATATATGATATGCATATATTAGATATAAATGTTATATAAATAATAAATATATATATTATATAAATAATATGAACGCATATAATATATATATATACTATAAATATATATATACATGCATATATTTATGTATTATAAATATATATATTAGGTGCTGCCCAGCTGAGGCGTCTCGAAACGAGATAATCTGTTATTTCATACTTTGCTTAATTTCATCTAAAGTTTAGGGTTCAGAGTTGTTTAGGGTTTAGGGTTTAGGGTTTAGGGTTTAGGGTTTAGGGTTTAGGGTTTACGTGAACGAAGAGAGCGACGCAATCTGCGCCCAGCGCTGGCTGCAGCGCCGGTACAAGAGGCTCTAGATAAGAGAGAAGGTTAGTAGAGGCAGCAGCAGCGTGTTGCTGCTGCTGCTGCTGACCCCTATTGGCCACAGCAGCATTAGGTGCACCAGCAGCAGCAGCAGCAGCTGCTGCTGCAGCTGCAGCTGCTTCCACTTCTTCTTCTTCTTCCTCTTCCTCTTCTTCATCATCATCATCATCATCATCTTCAGCATGATGGTGTAGATGTTTTTGGTGTTGATGATGCTGCTGTTGTTCATAAAAAGTATTATTAGATCCCGCAGCAGCAGCAGCAGCAGCTGCTGCTGCTGCGGCAGCAGCAGCAGCACAAGAAGCTGATGCATGCTCTAAAGTTTTTGCTGCTCTCTCTGGGATATACTCCCAAGCTCTATGAGGCCTATAGAGCTTACCCCTAGACCATAGCGAGGCAAAAGGAGGCTCAGCCTTGCCTTTGATAAAGATAGACCCTTCATCGCTTAAGAATCCGCTTTGTCTAGTTAATCGTGCATGCGCAATCATCTTCTGCCAGCCCCGACTTGTAGCCTCTGCAGAGAACGTCCAGTGTGCCCAAGAGGTTATACTTTGTTTTTGATCCTTTAAATTAATTACAGACAACTCAAAACGAACGTTAGGAAAGCACCAGTCGTCGGGGTACCAGGGCTGTTTAACGGCTTCTAGGAATACAGACAGATGTGACGCTTCGCTCTCTGTCCCTGCTGTACCCCGAGGATGCAGCAGCAAGCGAAACACAAACCCTCTGCAGCAACCGCAGCAAGGCGACTCAATGTCATTATGTGTCTTCGCTACCTTCCAGAAGTTTCGCACTTCAAACTCTACGCAGTGGCTTCCTTCTGAGCTGCCCATGCTGCTGCTGCTGCTGCTGCTGCCGCTGCTGCTGGCGCTAGCAGCAGCAGCAGCTGCTGCTGCTGCTGCTGCTGCTGCGCTGTTACTCATGTTCGTCGTGTTCGTCGTGTTCGTCGTATTGCTGTTGCTGCTCGTGTTGCTGTTGCTGCTCGTGCTGCTGCTGCTGCTGCTGCTGCTCGTGCTGCTGCTGCTTACACGCCCTATTCCTGAGCTACTACTAGGACCCGTAGGGCTTCCGGGTGAAGCGTACATGCTGCACCCACCACCACTAACAACAATGCTGCTGCTGCTGCTGCTGTTGCTGCTGCTGCTGCTGCTGCTGTTGTTGTTGCTCGTAGGAGCAAAGCTGCTGTCGCCGCTCTCTCCTGAACAACCATCACCGGCAGAAGCTGCTGCTGCTGCTGCTGCTGCGGCAGGCCCTGAAGCAGCAGCAGCAGCACCTCTGGGCTCTGCTGCTGCCCTTACTTCTGCTGCATCACCACCATGAAAGACGCCCGAAGAGCACCGAATGCAATCCTTTGAAGTGCTGCTAAACCTCCCTGCTGCTGCTGCTGCTGCAGCAGCCGAAGACTGTTGCGATTGGGCTGGAGGTAGGGCCCCTGACGCTGCTGCTGCTGCTGCTGGCAGCAAATCAGACCCATACATGAACGCATCTGCTGCTGTACCCTCGCTGCTGCTGCGGCTGCTGCTGCTGCTGAGCCCTCGAGTAGACAGCGGAACGCCGAAACAAGTGCTAGCAGCAAGCTGTTGCTGCTGCTGTTGCTGCTGCTGCTGCGCTGCTGCTGCTGCTGCTGCTTCCAGAGGCAATATAGGAGCAGCAGGCAAACCTCCAAGCGTCACATTGCTGCAGCTGCTGCATGCGTTGCAGGTGGAGCCGCTGCTGCGCCCCCCTGCTGCTGCTGCAGCGGCAGCAGCAGCTACAGCAGCTGCAGCAGCATCACCTGCTATCTCTTCCTCTCCAATTCGCAGCCCGTCTGCTGAACTCAGCAGCAGCGGAGCAGCAGCAGCTGCTGCTGCTGCTGCAGCGCAGCAAGGCCGTCTCAATGACGCAGCACGTGTGCTGTCTACCTCCTCCTCCGCTGGAGGCGTGCTGCTGCTGCTGCTGCTGCTGCCTGCTGCTGCTGCTGCTGCTGCTGACTCGCAGCGCAGAGGTATAAACAAGGGACTCGAAAAATTCTGACAGCCGCCGCCGCCTCGCACTGCCAACACCCGACGCTCAACAACAGGAACTGCAGCACAAACCCTAAACCCTAAACCCTAGACCCTAAACCCTAAACCCTAAACCCTAAGAAACGAGCAGCAAGACATTTGCAATGAACAATAAACAATAAACAACCCGTAAAGCGGTGTGAATTACATATCCTATGCTGTAACTAAATGCTAAACCCTAAACCCTAAACCCTAAACCCTAAACCCTAAACCCTAAACCCTACACCCTAAGTCAGAGCAACTAAGCGTAGATTGCAAACCCTAAACCCTAAATCCTTGACCGAAACCCGGAGCGCATTCACCTCGGTCCACAGGGTTTAGGGTTTGGGGTTTGTCTAAAGTTTAAGATTTAGGGTTTAGGGTTTAGGGTTTAGGGTTTACCTCGATGAGGGCTGTTGTTGCTTGAATTTCTACTTAGGGAGGTCCTCTCAAACTCAAAAGACGGGGCAGAGCTGCCGTTGTTCCCCATCTTTGCTGCTGCTGCTGCTGCTGCTGCAGCCGCTGCTGTTGCTGCTGCTGCTGCTGCTGCTGCAGCGGCCGCTGCTGCTGGCGCAGCAGCAGCAGCAGGCAACGAGCAGCGCCCCACCCCACAGTTAGGAGGACGCCCTGAGGTGTACGTACACCCCTTGATACAAAGGCTTGCTGCTGCTGCTGCTGCGGCTGCGGCTGTAGGGGTGCTGCCGCTGTTGCTGCTGCTGCAGAGCTGCTGCTGCTAAATGGGTTGTGCTGCAGCAGCAGCAGCAGCAGCACAGCAGCCACAAAAACTCGACGAGGTCAACACGCAGCACCGCCGGCCTCCCTTCCTGCAGCAGCAACAGCAGCAACAGTAGCAGCAGCAGTAGTAGTAGTCGTAGCAGCAGCAGCAGCAGCAGACCTTCTCTGCGTCGCACCCCGAATCCGCTTTGCTGCCGCTCCACGGAAACCCCACAAAAAACCCTAAACCCTAAACCCTAAACCCTAAACCCTAAATCTTAAACCCTAAACCCTAAACCCTATACCCTAAACACTTCGATTCCGCAGCAACAAACTGCAGCGCTGCTGCTGCGCAGCTGCAGCAGCAGCAAATGGAGAAGCAGCTGTTGCGTCAACGCGTACGCAAAGCGGTGAGCAGCGACTAGAGTGCTGCAGCTGCTGCTGCTGCCAGTAGCAGCAGCAGCAAAGGAGCAGTAGCAGCAGCAGCAAAGGAGCATTAGCAGCAGCAGCAAAGGAACAGCAGCAGCAGCAGCAAGAGCAGAGACGCGCAGCAGCAGACAGCGACTGCAAGAGACAGAGGCGTTAATAGAGAGAGTGTATTGTAGCTTACTTGCTGCTGATATCAATAATACAAGCCGTAACGCTGCAGCAGCAGCTGCTGCTGCTGCTGTCGCTGCTGCTGCTGCTGCTGCTCCTTTGCTGCTGCTGCTGCTGCAGCGGGAGCGTCCGCCCTGCTCGCCTCTTCGTCACAACAAAAACTTTGATGCTGGTTTCCTGCTGCTGCTGTTGCTGCTGCTGCTGCTGCTGCAAGAACGGCAGCAGCAACAACAGCAGCGGTGTAGCATGCACGGAGGCAGAAGAAGGCGCGTTGCTGCTGCTGCTGCTGCTGTTGCTGCTGCTGCTGCTGCTGCGTGAGCACGCTCCCGAGGCGTCAGTAGTAATTAACACTATATTCGCGCAGCCCCCCAGCAAGCAAAAGAAATTAAAATAGATGAAAGCCCCAGAGGAACTCGTGGGACCGGAAGAGCAGCAGCAGCAGCGGCGGCGGCGGCCGCTGCTGCTGCTGCTGCTGCTGCTGTTGCTGCTGCT